TAAAAGATAAGCACTTAAAAAAATAACCATCCTACCATCATCACACACACAAAAATAAAACAACAGTAATTCTTTGGTATTATGAGTTTTCCAGCCAGTGTTTACATTTCCACTGTTGTCTTATAAATGCTTGTTCCTCTGTGCTCTATATTTCATATAAATTGGTGGTAAGATCTAGAGGCTTGGCCAGATTCTGGTATTACCATCATCATCACTAAGCAAGACTACTTCATTGGTGGTGCTATGTACTTCCATCACAATGTACATAACACCTAGTAGCTACTTCTCTGTAATGTTAATATAAAATCTTTGATGATCATTGCCTAAATCCACTAAGTCATTTGAATTGCAAAATGGTGATTCCTTGATTATTATCTAGAAAACTTCAATAAACAGAAACTTCTACTTATTTGTTCTTTGACTATTCAGATAAAGATCGTAAGAGGAAAAGGAGTTGATTCTCTCCCTTAATTTGTCAGTTTTCAGAATAATGAGTTCTTCTTGCTGAGGCATCTTCCAAAAGTGACCAGTGAGTTTTGCTTATCTGCTGTTTTAATAGTGCCATTATAAAGTCAGAGATTTCAACAAATTTGATGTTTTTCAGTTCATGGCAGCTATTGTCTTTATTGATGCTTAAACTGTCCCATCTTTGACCAGTGGCACTTATTCAGGCTGACTCCAGAATTCTGTCTGATATGACCGTAGTAAACTTTGATTCCTTGCTTTCTGGGATAACAAAATGTTCCAAGCTAAGACTGTACATTTTATGGCCCAGACCTTGAATCAACCATTTTTCCTAAAGCCCTCATTACTTTTTGTAGGTAATGGTATTTAGAGGTCACATTCGGGGCACATATGGTGCTCACTGCTATTGGGTTGGGTTCTTTTTAGTGAACAGAACTAAGAAATTCACATGTATGTGCATATGTATGTATATATATGTGTGTGTATCGTAAGTATATATGCACATAGGTATATATATTTGTATATGCCTATGTATTACATATACACTTAAAGATAAATATATATATTTAAAAAACATGTATATATATATATATTTAAGGATAAAATACTTTATGAGTTCATGTTAATCCTAGCAATTCAAATTTAGGAACACAAGTTTCAACTTACCAGCAATCTTAAACCTGTATTTCCTTTTAATCATATCAAAAACCTCGAGTCTCAGTGACCTCAGCATAACAACTCATTTGACCTATTCTACAATACAAACACAGTATCAGAATAACAAAAATATTACTGAAAACAGGTATTTTGTTTGTGTTGTTGTTAAGGAACATCTAAGAGATGTACATTAAAATTACTTGGAATTTGTTTACTCTGCTAATTCCACCAAGTGAATACACAGTTAAGTTCATTTATTTCATTTTACTTTCAATTTCTCAGGATATCTTTATTAATAATATAGTAATTTTGTTTTATAATTATGTAAAATGTCTGCACAGTTCTAAAGTCAAATCTACCAAACAAAGTACATTCAAAGAACTCTAGCTTCTCTATCCTCCAGCCCTACATCCTCCCTTTCTATGTAGGTGAAACTTGTTTTGAACTTCATGGTTTATCCTTCCATGGTTTCTTAACGGAGTGAATATATGCACTTATTATTATTCCTGCTTGTCTTAGATAAGCGGCAGCACATTAGTCACAACTGTATCCCTGATTTTCCCCTTACTACATCCTGGAAATCGTTCTGTGGTACATAAAGACGTTCCTTATTTCCTTATTTCGCTGGTAGGTCCACAGCATATTCATCCAGTCCTCTACCATTCAGACTGTATCCAATCTTTTGCTATTAAAAATAGTGCCAACAGAGTGTATTATCAAAATTTTAAGTTTTTACTAATCAGATAGTTGAGAAATGGTAGTTTTCATTTGCATTTCTCTTATTTGGAGTAAAGGTGAGCATATTTTTCATATGATTGAGCCATTTTCATTTCTTTTCCTACAAATGTGGTTCACCTCTGAGAAAGCTTTAACCAATTTCTAAGATTGCTGGTCTTCTGTGTTTTTAGAAGCTCTTTACATGCTACGGCTATTAACCCTTTGTCTGTGATATTAGCTGAAAAATTTTTTTGCAGTTTCTTACTGTCCTTTTACTTTGCTTATGCAAAGTATACTTATGCAAAGTTTGCATAGGCAAAGTATACTTTGCCATGAAAAAAAAACTTTAATGTAACCGAATTTATCAATCTTTTCCCTAGCTTTTGGATCTCGAGTCATAGAGGGAAAAAAAGAAATTACACAGCAGTCTCACTCATGACCACAGATGGAAAAACTCTAAACAAAACATTAGCAAACCAATTCCTGCAACATATGACCTAACCACCAAGACGGGTTTATTCTAGGAATAGTTAGTTTAACATTCAAAAACCAACCAATGTTTTCCACCACATTATCAGAGTAAGAGAAAATAAACTATTTTCTCAAGCTATACAGAAAGAGCACTTGACAAAATTCAACATCCATTCATGATAAAAGCTTGTAGAAAACAGATATACAAAGTAATTTACCCTGATAAATGATATCTACACCAAAGCATACTTAATGGTGAGCAGCTGAAAACCTTCCCTCTGAGATCAGGAATGAGATGAGGTTAGCCACTGTTGCCACTTCTACTCAACGCTGTTCTGGCTCTTGACCTAGTCAGTATAGTAACGCAAGAAAAAGAAATACAAGGCGCAAGGATTGGAAAGGAATCAGAAGTTTTCCTTATTCACAGATGACACGATTGCATATGTAAAAATCAAAAAGAATCTAAAAAGTTATTCACATAAGCATGATTGTTGGATACCAGGTCAATATACTAAAATCAACTACATTTTTATTAGCAAGTAACAGAAAATGAAAAAACAAAAAGTTAACTATTTACCATAACATCAAAAAATCAATTTCCTAGGAATAAATCTAGCAGAGATACGCAAAATCTCTACACACAAAACTAGAAAACATTCTGGGAAAAATTAAAGACCTAAATAATTATCCTATAGCAGTATAGGATAAACCCATACTGACGAAAGGATTCATGAACTAATGAAACATAAAGTCTAGAAACAGATCCTTACATATGTAGACCCTTGCTTTACGACAATGGTGGCACTTCGGGATAGCAAAGAAAGGCAATCTTTTCAATAAACAGTGCTGGGTCAACTGAGTATCCACAGGGGAAAAAGTGAGACCACCCCTACACCTTACAACTTTCATTAAAAATCAATTCTAGGTGGATTATAGCTCTAATGTGAAAGCAAAACAAGAAAACTTTTTAGAGAAAATAATTTAGTATCTTTAAGACCATGGGAAGGAGCAGTTTTCTTAAATAGGACACAAAAAGCATTAGGAAAAGATCCATTTTAACATTGCTTAATCAACGACTTCAGTTCCTCCAAAGACATTGTTTATAAGTGAGTGGGAAAAGTGCAACACACATAAAAAACAAGGATTTGCAGTAAGAACATACAAAGATCTACAAGTAAGAGTTAGATTTTAATTTTTAAAAATTCAGGAAAAAGGGCTATACAAAAATGTAATGATGTGTTTTACCAAATGCAATCTTTATATTTGTTTCCAAAGTAATTAATAATTTTATTGGGTTTTTATGTATAATACTTTTTGTATCTTTGTAGGAACCCAGTTGGTGGAAGGATTCAGTTGGCTATTGCTGTGGCAGTTGCTCTCTTCCCACTGATCTCGTGGGTCTACATATACTTAAACAAGGAGATGCGGTCCTCCTGGCCAACTCACTGCAAGACAGTAATTTAAACACAGTGAAGAATCCTGTTCTTAAAATGAGTTTTCAATTTTTTATAAACATGGTTGTAACAAGCCAGTTTCCCTAGAGTTTATTTCAGGTAATCTGAGTTAATACTAGAGATGACTTAAAAAAAAATCCTAATAACTTTTTAAGGCTGCCTACAACCCAGGACTGGATGAGACCAGTAAGAGAGACAGGCTATGACATCCTGCTGTGTCACAGTGCAGTGGGAAGGGCAGTAGAGCAAAAGTTAAGAAGTATGAATTGTAACTCAGCTTCATCATGATCCGTGTGACTTTGGCAAATATATAAACCTCCTGTAGATAATTCTTTATCTATAAAACATGATGGATATGAGACAGCTTACTTACACAGCTGCAAGGATTAAACTAGATGATATGAGACCCCTCTGAAGATATGAAGTGCTTACAAAGGGCTGCATGCAATAACACAGAGGGAAGCAGGGTTTGAGTAAACATGACAGAAACAGCAGTGTAAGAGAGGGCTGTACCCCGAAAGTAGGCTTATTATACTGAACTGGTACCCAGCCGTGAATTAAATGAGGACTCCAGGTGAACCAAATGAACAAGCATGTCTTGGAAAGAAAAATTAGCTAGAATATAAGAATTTGGGGACAAAAAGAAGGAACCAAAGAATATTAATTACTTTGTAAATGAAAAAGACCAAAATCTAGACACATATTTTGTAATGAATGTCAGAAGTCACCCTGGAGAGATTGTTCAGAGCTGTACAATCCGGTAGCCACCAGCCACTGCTGCATTGAGCACGTGAATTGTGCTTACTGAAGAAGTAAAGTTTTACTTTCTTCCTTTTAATTTAAAAACATCAATTATTAGAAAACTTATGTGTGTCTGGAATACTTGTTTTAAGTCTGTTTGTAACATCTTGGATATGTGAATCTGCTTCTTCAACTGCAAATTTTATATCTAAATACAGACCAAGTATTTCCAATGAACATTTAATGTCCAAATGGATGGATTATAAATATAAAATACATACTAGATTTTAAAGACTTAGTATAAAAAGAATGTAAAATATTTTTATATTGATTACATTTTGAAATAACATTTTAGATGTACTGGGGTAAATAAAATATATTAAAATTAACTTTATCTGTTTCTATTTAATTTTTAACATGTAACTGCAAAAATATTTCAAATTACTTATGAGGCTAACGTATTTCTGTTGGTCAGTGCTGTTTTAGAGTATCTGGATGGCAACTCTTTTACATATGCCAGCATCAAACTCCATAGTCAAGATAGTTTTGTGAGATTTAGGAAATATTCCACTCAAGAAGTATTAGTACCAACTATACATGAGGAGAGTGAAAATGAGTCTGGTAGTCTGTCTCTTTCTTTCTGTAGCCTTTAACATGATAGAGTATTCTCTCAATAGTTGTTAAAGGAGGTATGTGTGTTTTTTGTTTTATACAGTGGCCACTGGACAGTCAGAAATTCTCAAGATTTGGATGAGGGTAAAGCGGAAAAAATCTAGCTGATATTTAAGCAATGAAAGTGAGATTTATTTTAAGGGTTAGTGAAATACATATAAAGGATTTCAGTGTCCTGGTGTATGTTTAGCTTGCATATTTATGGTTTTTACCCCTCCTTCAGCATAACTATGAGTCAGACATGAAGAAACAGACTTATCTGCAAATTCAGCATAGGACCTATACATCCTCCTAGCAATGATTGATTCTGTGCTTAAAAGACTGTAATGTTCCAATTAAAAAAAAAAAGTAATGTTCAAGATACTCTCGCAGCCTACCTGCACCTCCCATATCACACTGAATTCTGTAAATATACAGTTCCTTTTTTATCGCCATCAGCACATCAAATGCACTAATCTGGTAATGTACCACCTTTCGTAAAGAATATTACTGAAATTGCTTTCAAACTCTATTTTTCCATTGAATTTAAGTATTCACAGTAAGTTTAATAGTTCTATTGTGAAAACCTCTATCTTCCCAGGCCCACAATCTTTTTCCTCCCCATTGTCACTCTTCCTCATCAGCCACTCATTATGCACTGCCTGGACTGAAGCTCAAATTTCATCTAATATTTCCCAGCCCAGAAACCTAAGAGTTCCTCACTGTCTGACAAATTAAGTTCTGAGTTTGGACTTGTCATTCAAGGCTCTTCCTTTTTCTGCTTTATTTCTTACTGTTCCACCAGCACCGTTTGGTGAATCCTCATAGTTGTTACTTACAATTTCTAAACTCGCATGTCCTATGATACCGTGCTGTTCTGTCTACTTGAAATGCACCTGCACATCTATTTAAACCATTTTCCTTCCTCTTCAAGACATCCCTAGTCCCTTCAAACAAAATTAAAGTCCTCCACCATGTACCTACATTTCTTTCCTCACACATTTGTATCTAGGGTTGCTTCTCTCTCTCACTCACGTAAAGTCAGTGAATGCAGGGAGTGCATTATAGTCGCCTCTGTGGTGGGCTGAAAAACGGTCCCCAAAGATATCCAAGTCCTAATCCTCAGAACCTATGAAGATATAGGGTGACCTACATATATCACGAGATTTTATTGTAAATGAAAAATATCCCATCTTATCTGGGTGGGCCCTCATGTAATCACAAGTTAAGGAAGGCAAAGGGGGATGTGACTACAAAGACAGAAGAGGAGAAAGGGATGTGACAACAAAGGAGATTTGAAAATGCTATTATCATTGGCTTTGCGGATGGAGGAAGGGGGCCATGAGCCAAAGAATGGAAGACGCAGCTCCAGAAGCTGGAAAAGGCAAGGAAACAGGTTCTCCCCTCCAGCCCCCTGAGAGAACATGGCCCTGACAGCACCTTGATCTCAGCCCAGTGAGAATGAACTGTGAGAGAACAAATATATGCTGTGTCAAGCTACCAAGTTTGTGGTAATTTGTTACAGCGGCCAGAGGAAGCTAATACACCTCTATACCCCACAGTGCCCTGCTACTCAGCAGGCATGCTCATGTTGACCAGTACTGGTTTTTTATGTCTTCCTGTTTTTTAGGCCCTGAATCAAACTTTTCCTACATTTGAACAGTCTCCACTCACCACTGAGTGTTTCTGCAAATAAGCCTTAGAACATATGACAGCTGAGTTAAACATGTCCCATTTGTCTTTAAAGGAAGTCATAAATTCATTTATCTACTAGTGTCATACAGCACCAACCGGGAGCCCAGAGGGACAAGCTAGCAGGCACCCAACTGTACTGGCACTTGGTCCTGTGTTGGTTGGAATCACAAGAGCTCTGCATGGGAGACCACACGTTCATCTGGGTGAAGGGGCGGGGGGGGGGCATTTGTTCACCTGTGAAGTAATTGGTGATATTTTTCATCTACAAAATAGGAGTATAAACCTATAAAAGTAAAAATATGATGGGTACTCTGAGCAAAAAATGTCCAAAGCTCATTCACACAGCTGGGTAAATGGAAAAGTTTACCTGAGCTAATTTTTTTATTATGTATATTAAGTTACATAACTAATACATTGAATGAATACACTATTTGTAAAAAGTAAAAAAATCTCAGGTAAAGCTAAATACTGTCTATTTTGAGGACTATATCCCCCCCACTTCAGTCTCCCTGGTTTATTCATGCTACTTTCATTCATTTTCTTTCCAATTTTCAGCATAGGATATCCTATCTAAAAATGACATTTCAGAATATCTTATCAGCTAACACACACTGAAGCCAGTTATGGTTGTTTCTTATGCAAACAGAATACTAAACAATGAGACTGAGGATTCAGGGAGGGGAGTGGAACAAAACCACAAAGCTTAGTCATTCTCTTTCTATAAAAGTCAACAAAATAAAATCAGACTAAAAATGGAAAGCTTTCTCCTTCTTGTAATTCATAATTCTGTCTGGAACTCTGCCCTTCCCTTTCAACACCATTTTGTCAGGATAGACATGAACTGTGCCAAAAGCCTGGCTGTCCGGAGCTGTTTCAATAACCCCTTCTATGTTGACGTGGTGCACACCAAAGGGATCCTCAGAGTAGCCACCATCATGCGTGTGACCGGCGAAGAAACACACCACACACTCGTGAGACCAAATGACTGCCAGGGCGTCTCTGTAATTCCAGGCCAGGCACACACTGTCAGAGGCCGCGGGGTAAATGGGAAGATGGCCTGTTAGTTAAAGAGAAGAAGAGTTATGAGCCAAATAAGAAATAACTCTTTCATCAAAAAAAAAAAAAAGAAAGAAAGAAAGAAAGAAAAAAAGAAAGAAAAGGGTAAAAAATAGTACTCAGGAAAAAGAAAATGTGTATTGCTACTCATTATGGACCGAGATCAGAAAGAATCCACACATACATGAAAAACTAGATAATCTACAGCCATGTGTCTGGAGCATAAAGAAGGATGAGACAGTTCATGTCCATGGGAAGAGAGGACACTGTACAGGAAGAAACCCTGAGATCCACGGCCTACAGAGTCTCACGATGCACAAATGCCATGGGAGACTAAGAGCATCCTGCACAGGGCGGTCTGCAGAGGCAGCCCGAGACCAGGCAGATGCTGCACTGGAATCTGGTCTTGCTGACTTCCCTCAGGGTAACAGTGCTACCCACACGGAAAGAGCCACTCCTAAGTAAAAGGACAGTTTAGGGATGGGCCAGCAAACTAAATATCATTTACGTAGACAATGTTTTATAAAGAACTGACTTATGCCACTTTAAACACCTCCATGAGATCAAGGCGGCCATAGCAATGTTGCAGACGTGAGAACTACGTTAAGGCTGGGAGCATTCACGCTACTAGGTTCGACAGGGGATACGTCCAAGTGGAGCTGGGAGAATTTCAAATTCCTGATGACAAGACGCAGGTGACAAGACATCAGGCCACAGTTCCACTGTGAAGTACAGGTACGACAGTTCACTGGTCTTTCCTTTTTCCCATTAAATCACTTTCCTTTTTTCTGTCACTGTTTGTTTTTATTCTGAATATTTTTGCTCTGTTTAATATCTATTACTGTATAATACAAGTAAAAAAAGGGGGATAACAGAGCACACGTATGCACACTCACACGCACGTACACACCGACAACCACTCTTCAAGCTTTAAAAAGGGCTTGAATCATGAATCAAGTCCCTGTAGCATCCAACACAATTAGTCGCTCCCTACTTCTTGAAACACTT